CCTTAAACAACACAATTGGCAGCGAGGGGCGTAAAGATGGTGATTTTTGCTAATGTATCCACACTTATATAAACACTTCTGGGTTCTTTAATTTCGAAAAACAAACCGGTTGTTATACATCATCTGAAAGAGCTTCGTTTTCTGAGCACAATGATATGTTTTTGATCTCATAGACTTTCATCCTCGCTTTCATCTCGATTTTTAAATCAACAAATCACAACTTCACTGTTGGCACTAAACTAACAAATTACTTCTCTCCCATATAAATTACCACCGAGCGCCGCTATGGTGGTGATGTTTCTTTAATATAATCAAGGTTACTTCCACTCACTTGCTTTAAAAAAATGTTTTGCGGAATTATGAAATCATGAAATAGTATAATACTAGCACAGACAAACAGACATAACACATTGAATATTTCTCACTGTAAAACATCGTTGCTAAAACATTACCGCTATCTGTTGAGTACACTGTGGTGGGCACTACGCTGAACAGATGGCGGTAGTGTGTAAACGTCAAACGCAAGGGAATTGACTATGCGCGCCACAGGTGGCGGTACTACCAACTACGATACTTTCAAATTGTCCGTTAAATGCTTGTTCGATGAACAACTTTCGAGTGTTATGTCTGTTTGTCTGTGATACTAGTTACAAGAAGAGGTCACGAAGTATATGTTAAACGCTGTACAGACTGGAGAGTTATAACAACAATCAATACGAAACTAACGATTTTAAATTGGCTCACTACTTGACAAGCCTATTGATCCCAAGCAAACGATTAACGTGCCCCATTCTAGTTGAAATTCTAGTACTACGCAATGTATGTTTTGATTCGCTGTGAAAGTTTGACAGATAAAATGAGGGTTTATTGGTTTTTCCTATGTTTCGAGGGGTGAATCGATTAGCTTGGGACCGAAAAGAGTACCAGAGCTGAGCCAAAAAGTTGAGCACGTTAGTTCGGGTCCTTTATAGACCTTTTTGACGTTTAATCGTCTTTCTTTATCTAGCACGCATAGATGAATGGATGGTTTGTTTTCCCACTAATCTTGCTCGCACTCCTTGAATTTAAATGGTGCATTAGTGTGCGCCGATTAAACATCAAAAAGGACTTTTGGTCCCAAGCAAATCGATTAACGTACCACATTCTAGTACTACACTACACGCTATTTCAAAACTACCCAAATTTGGGTAGAATCTGACAGACATAACTCCGGCAACTTGTTCATCGAACACGCATTTAACGGTCATTTTAAATGTGTTTAGTTGGTAGTACCGCCACCTGTAGCGCGTTTGACGTTTACACACTACCTCCATCTGTTCAGCGTACTACCCATCACAGTATACTCAACAGATGGCGGTAGAGTTTTAGCGACGATATTTTATATTGAAAAATATTCAATGTGTTATGTCGGCTTGTCTGTGGTACTGCCGTTCTATTGGTTTAAGAGGCAACTAACGATTTGGTTTTAAATTTGTTCAATGCAGAGTTGTAACAGGTTGTATTGGCTATCAAAAGCAACATCAAACGCACCGAGAAACGTTAAATCTAGTGAGTTATTAACAAAAGAGAAAATCGACGAAGAGAATCGATCATCGCGTTACGCCCATGCTCACTGTCGATTTGATCGTCGAGTTGGCGTAACAAATGGTACCTCGCCCACACATTCTAACACTACTATCTGATGGTAGTGTTTGCATGTGTGGGCGAGCTACCAGTTACGCCAAATCGACGATCAAAATCAAAAGATGTATTTAATACAATGTTTACTAATTCTGATACGGTCCTTCGAAAAAGTAATCGAGATTTACTGTTTTCTTTGTCCGTTATAGTTCTTTGCACCGGTACTTACCCCAAAAATCATCAACTTCAAACATGTTTCAGTAGTTTCGCTAGCAGATAATAATTATTATTGAATTATTAAAATTAATGTTATTAAATAATTCTGTTATTTATAACTCATAACAAAACGCAGAACAGACGAGAAAACAGAATCTTTGGTATCGGTTCGTTACTTATTTTTTGTACTTCTAGATAGAGCTGGAATTAGGGCGTAACAGCCTTTGTAAACAATGACTTCTCTTGTTAATTTCTCGGTATTCAAGGCACGCCTACACAAACCAACATATCTATTGGGTAGGAGAAGTCTTCCTTTACTCGATGGTGATGTCGATTTTCCAGGGAGAGCCATGTCTTCCGAGAAATCATCGAGAGAAGTCATTGTTAAAAAAGCTGTTACGCCCTAATTCCAGCTCTATCTAGACTTTTGGACTGGAAGCAGAGTTGCCAGAACTATTTTTCGAATACAGGTTTTATCCGCTAACGTTTATCCCAACCATTTCGTTCAACGGAACAAGGCGCTATTTATATCGAGCCAGGGAGACCATATAGATTGATGGTGCATTTATACACGTTATTTCAAAACTCCCAGATTTGGGTAGAATCCACCCAGATCGGTCCAAACTGAACCGACCCAAAAATGGGTAAACTATGTTGGAAGTGATAAGTTGATAAATAAATCCGATCGACTTTGTTCATTTGTCAACTTTTCACTCCCAACATATTTTATTTACCCATTTTTGGGAAGGTTCAGTTTTGAACGATATGGATGGATTCTACCCAAATTTGGGGAAACTACACTCAGAAATATTACTAAACAACGAAAGATTAAAATTTAATCATCTTATGTTTAATCAATTTGTATTGACGAGTGCACGGATGGATTTGAGTTCACTCACTCGACAAAAAGTGACACAACAGCGGGGCCCTGTTTACTAAAAATGAACACATATGTGTTCATTTTTAGTAAACAGGGCCCCGCTGTTGTGTCACTTTTTGTCGAGTGAGTGAACTCAAATCCATCCGTGCACTCGTCTATAGTGTTTTCGGCAACTACATTTTAAACCGAGTTTTAAACGTTAATATCACTGTATTTTCCCATCGAAACAATTCGCTGAATGCATTCAAACGATTCTTTAGTCTTTCAGCTTCAATCTGATTACATACGACTGAGCAAACCTGTTATGCCAGATTTTTCTTTTAATGACACATATCACACAAAAAACCAAAATGGTATCTATAAAAATGTTACCAATTCAAATTAAAAGTCTATCGAATTCGGTAGCTTCAACTACGAAAACCTTCAACGTGAATTTATTTATTTTTTGTTTGAAAGTTTTTATTTCACTATCGACACGTAATTGATCAATTTAGATGGTCAAGTTTTGAACCCACCACAGCATGACTTTGGCGCTACAGAATATGGACGATCAAATGTAAAATGCTGTGGTAGCCACAGCACAGTTCTGTCAAAACCATGCATTTTCATTGATCCATTTTTAAAAGTTCACATATTTAAAACAAAAATTGTACAAATGTCGAAATGACCTCATGAAAAGCTCATTGTCAAAGAACATCCAACAACATGTGAATGAAACATAAAAATATGTACATATATTAAAAAATTACTTAAATTAAAATATTTTTTCCTTTATTAGATAGACTCTTCGCATAGAGGTAACTCTAAGACTAGAAGGTCCCGAAATAACCTAATTAGGTACTGCAGCGTGACGTCACGAATGAACTAAGTGTTTATCGGCTGAACCTTTTTGACAGTTCAGTGGTACTGTTTACAAGCACTTAGTCGTTTTTTCGAAAAAAAAATTCTAAGATCTGCGAATTTTAACTTGCAAATTGTATCATTATTTATGTACGGTCCTTATATTTCAAATGACAAGTGCGCAAAATTTCAACTCTACCGAGGAGGTGGCAAAACCACAAAATTACCTTGCATACGGGGGGTACTCTTTGGATGAAAGGGACCGTGAAAGAGGACACTAAAATAGAAAGTTTTTCTTCCAACAGTTTCATCTTAGTATTCTTATTTGACTCAATCACATGATGTATAAAAATCGGTATATTTTTCGAAGTTAAACAACCCAATTAGTATAAGTTTTCATCACAATTACGAATTATTTTTAAATTAATTGCTTTTATAATGCATGCAGGAAATAAAAAAAAAATATTTATTTTGCATAGACGAACCAGCCCACAGTGATATTAACGTTATGATATTAACGACTCGGTTTAAAATGTAGTTGCCGAAAACACTATAAAAATTGATTAAACATAACATGATTAAATTTTAATCTTCCGTTGTATAGTAATATTTCTGAGTGTAGTTTCCCCAAATTTGGGTAGAATCCATCCATATCGTTCAAAACTGAACCTTCCCACAAATGGGTAAAATATGTTGGGAGTGACAAGTTGACAAATGAACAAAGTCGATCGGATTCATTTATCAATTTATATCACGGTAAGAAAAAAGTACCCAGCGGAAAGTTCACTTTTACCTACATTTGACTAGTGTGTCTCCTTTTCTCCTTCTAATGTTGTCATAAATGAAGGAGCAAAACCACCCAACAGGGGTAGTAAAGTGTGGGAACCCAACGTTGAGTATAATCATATTTATCTACCGTTGGGTACAACTGACTTACTTTTGGTTAAAAAGCCAGTGGAAAGTTCCATAAGAACTGCACACAAGTAAATGAAAATTACTTTGACCCGCTTTACCTACTTTTGAGTTCCTGCACTATAGTGCCGAGATGAGTGAAAAGAACTTAATTTTGGGGACTTTTTTCTAACCGTGCACTTCGAACATAGTTTACCAATTTTTGGGTTGGTTCAGTTTTGACCGTCTGGGTGGATTCTACCCAAATGTGGGTAGTTTTGAAATAACGTGTATAAATGCACCATCAATCATGTAATAAGTTCAATCTATGGTCCCCCTGGCTCGATATAAATAGCGCCTTGTTCCGTTGAACGAAATGGTTGGGATCAACGTTAGCGGATGAAACCGATATTCGAAAAATAGTTCTGGCAACTCTACTTCCAGTCCAAAAGTACAAAAAGAAAGTAACGAACCGATACCGAAGATTCTGTTTTTCGTCTGTTCTGCGTTTTGTTGTCAGTTATAAATCAAAAAATTATTTAAAAACAAACTTTAATAATTATTATCTGCTAGCGAAACTACTGAAACATGTTTGAATTCGAAGATTTTTGGGGTAAGTACCGGTGCATAGAATTATAACGGACAAAGAAAACAGTAAAATCTCGATTATGTTTTCGAAGGAACGCATCAGAAACATTGTATTTGATCGTCGATTTGGCGTAACTGGTAGCTCGCCCACACATGCAAACACTACCATCAGATAGTAGTGTTAGGATGTGTGGGCGAGGTACCATTAATTTTGTGACGCCAACCTCGATTACTTTTTGAAAGTGACGTATCAGCTTTTGTAAACAATGCATTTAATCGTCAATTTGGCGTAACTGGTAGCTCGCACACGATTACTAACACCACTAATAGGTAGGGGAAAATTCCCTCTATCTGATGGTAGTGTTAGCATGCGTGGGCGAGCTACCAGTTACGCCAAATCGACGATCAAATGCAATGTTTACAAAAGCTGATACGTCCCTTTGACAAAGTAGTCGACTCGACGATCAAATCGACGCAGTGAGCATGGGCGTAAACGCGATGATCGATTCTCTTCGTCGATTTTCTCTTTTGTTAATAACTCACTACACTCAAAGGATTTTCAAATCTAAATAGATTAAAAGTTACACTAAATCGCAACTCTCCTTACCGACGCATAGCTTTGTTTAAAGAGAGAGAATACTAACTTAGTATAAAACTGGTTTATACATTGGATGGTATAAAATTGAGGTATTCTTCTGATGTATATTATGCATTTATTCGGCAGATTCGATTATTTTTCAGTTTCATGTGGTTTGTTATGATTGAAAAACATAAACAAAAAGTTGGAGAGAGTGAACTGTATGGAGATACGTTTATATTTTTATTCTTTAAAATTAACAACATTATGAAGAAGTTATGGTTGAGGCTGTTAGTGGCAGTGATGACTGACATAGATGACGATGACTCGGATATATATAAAGAATCGAAGGTTTTCATTTGATTTTTCAAAGTCACGGCCAGAAAACGGTACCATTCAATTGGATCCATGAGCGAGAATAGTCAGCTATCCGTATTTCGGCAGTTCAGCTTCTCACACCTTCACCCTCGCGCCCTTCAAGATGTTCCTCATGATACTATATACATATTATTATACTCCCCGTAAATCGAATCCTCATCATACTGCGACACACGGGAAATGGTCGATCCGGTTCAGGTTGTTGTACGACGAACCAATCTCTCCCAGATACAGTACACCTTTTTCTCGCATGGAAGCACCTTGTTTTAAATGGTGTACAATTTTACGATCACGTTGCCATCTTATTGATTCGCCAAGGCACTTTCCATCCGTATTGATCAACTCAGAACCGGAAGTAGCCCAACGACCGAGTGCTGTTTATGATGATCTGGCGTTGAAATGACCAGAAGTTTTGACTATAGGAAGAACCTCAGAATACTCGATCACCGAACGGAATAGGCCACAGTTCAAGCATCAGCATCTTAAATAATGGTGTTGCATTTTAATAATGATTTATAAACACTTACTGAAGTTTTTTTTCCACTTAGATAAAAATACTTGTTTGAGGCGGTTTTTGTCGATTCATGACAAGAGCTAAACAGAGAAACGAATTGTAATGCATAATCATGAACTATGACATGTTATTCATACTCATGCATAAAAACAAACCTGGAATAGATCGACAGTGAGCATGCATAAGGGCCTATACGCGATGATCGATTCTCTTCGTCGATTTTCTCTTTTGTTAATAACTCGCTAGATTTAACGTTTCTCGGTGCGTTTGCTGTTGCTTTCGTTAGCCAATACAACCTGTTACTACTCTGCATTGAACAAATTCTAGAAAATTGTTTCGCCTAGCTGTAGCAATGCAAAGAGAAAACCGATGAAGAGAATCGATCATCGCGTATTCGCCCTTATGAATGCTCACTGTCGAGATTACTTTTTAATCAAAGCTATGAATAAACAAAGCTAAATAAAATAAAGATTAAATTGTAATCTATTTTCGATTAGTAATATTTTTGAGTGTAGATTTAACGTGTCTCGGTGCGTTTGATGTTGCTTTTGATAGCTAATACAACCTGTTACAACTCTGCATTGAACAAATTTAAAACCAAATCGTTAGTTGCCTCTTAAACCAATAGAACGGCAGTACCACAGACAAGCCGACATAACACAATATAAAATATCGTCGCTAAAACTCTACCGCCATCTGTTGAGTATACTGTGATGGGTAGTACGCTGAACATATAGTGGTAGTGTGTAAACGTCAAACGTGCTACAGGTGGCGGTACTACCAACTAAACACATTTAAAATGACCGTTAAATGCGTGATCGATGAATAAGTTGTCAGTGTTATGTCTGTTTGTCTGTGGCTGTACCGTCATACCTTAAACCAGCTTAAACCGAATACTGTTTCAAAATAGATTTTCCTACGATTATGCCGTTAGGCCAAACGGTGTAGAGCCGTTTCTATTGGGGACACACTTAATATGTGTTTCAATTGCAAAACTAATGATTTGTTATCAGATTATCACATAAGATAAAAAAAATTCTATGTGAGTAGTCATATCGATTTTGTTTTACATGGATATTTTCCACTGGTTATGTGACTTATTTTATGAGTGATATATTCAACCATATATTACGATAATGCAAACGGTGTCTGAAGTTGAGATTTATGAATCTAATGCTATGTTCAGACTGCAGAGTTATAACCTAGCTTGCAACTTTTCATTACAGCTAAAATGCTATTATTCGGTATAATAAAACTATAAGATTTTAAAATTATATTTTTTATTTGTAAGATGCAGGAAGAGGAGGTAAAGTTTGTGTATGGCATATAGAACCTGTCAATTTCGCTTTCAGATTGAAATAAATTTAATATCTACAGAACACTATTAGTATTCAATGAACATTTTTTGATATTGATTGAATTTGCAGACTCCAATCCAGACGACGATGAGTACTACCAAGAATGCATCAATATTCCGAGCGAAGACGAGGAATTCTGTGGAGACTTGTTTTATGGACAGGCAGACTGCGATGAGAATTGTTATGGAGTCCACGAGTTCCACAATCTGAACGAAAGTGATGAGCTTTTACTGGGTGATGACCTTGAAGAATTCGCAGACTACGATGAGAATTTGTATGCAGTCCAGGACCTCAACCATCTGAACGAAAGTGATGAGCTTTTACTGGGTGATGACCTTGAAGAATTCGCAGACTACGATGAGAATTTGTATGCAGTCCAGGACCTCAACCATCTGAACGAAAGTGATGAGCTTTTACTGGGTGATGACCTTGAAGAATTCGCAGACTACGATGAGAATTTGTATGCAGTCCAGGACCTCAGCCATCTGAACGAAAGTGATGAGCTTTTACTGGGTGATGACCTTGAAGAATTCGCAAAACACGATGAGGATTGTTATGGAGTCCACGAGTTCTACGATCTGAACGAAAGTGATGAGCTTTTACTGGGTGATGATTTCGAAGAACTCGCAGACTACGATGAGAATTTGTATGCAGTCCAGGACCTCAACCATCTGAACGATAACGATGAATATTTTTGCGGAGACTTGTTTGAAGGATATGCAGACTACGATGAGTATTGTTATGCACATCAAGGTCAACAAAATCTAAACGAAAGCGAAGAAATGTTATGTCAACAATTGATGGAAAGATTAAATGTAGAGACCGTGGCCAAATCGACCGCACGGAATAAGCCTGCTGTAAAAACCGATCCCCCGACTTCTCAGCGCCGTTCCACCAGCGATGACGCAGCTGTTGGTTCTCAAACGGAAGCTGAACTCGCATCCTTGAATGCTAAATCTGTTTGCATCGCGAGTGAAGAAACAAATGGGAATGTCGCAGAGAACCCAGCAGTAGAACAGTATCCTCCGACTGCTAAGTACCTTTCCATTAAGAATGGTGACGCTGAGACGTTGATTTTGCAACCAGACTGATTGAAATAGTTCAGTGACAACATTTCATTAGGGTGAAACTGCTTACAATGACGTCAACCACCGATTTCTCGCAGATAATAGCTCACGCCTGCAAATGAACAATGCCCCATAAAGAAAACATTCTTCTACCAGATGGTGTCGTCAATTTGCTAGCTAGAGCGTTTGTTCGTGAGGAATCGGTCATTGATTACAAAAACAATTTCTCCTTTTTGAAAGTTTGGCACTGAATTGTTTTTCTATGCCTATGTATTGAATTCGATTTAAGCCAATAAAGTGTAAAATCAGTTACCAGTTCGTATTCCTTGAGTGCAGTGTATGATTTTTTATATTTTCACGGAACTAGTATGAAAATTAGGCATTGCTTACAGAAGTACACTGTCGATGAGAGTAACTCAGTGACTTAGTTAAATTCAGCTCAAAATTGAAAAAGTGGGGTTCCCCAGTAACATTTTCCTCGCCTTTCCAGAAAAAAACATGTGGAAAATCGACCAACACTTTAATCAGTCAGTAGCGAATCCTCATATTTAAGAAGTTTTTACTGGAAAATCCTGGAAACATTCACTGAGTAGCCCACTTTTTGTAAGTTTAGGTCAAATTCAACTCAAATTTAAGTTACTCTCATTGGTCGTGTAATTACGCCCATTATCAACAATCAATACGAAACTAACGATTTTAAATTGGCTCACTACTTGAGTAAAATTTTACCGAAATCTCAACAGCTGAACGTTCGGTAAACCATGACAACAGTTTTCCTGTAATTATTTACAGATATTTGTGAAAAATTACAGGAAATCTGCGAAACTGTTTACCGAACGTTCAGCTGTTGAGATTTCGGTAAAAAATTTACAGATTTCTGTAAAAATTTCTAAGTGTGTAGTTCTGCTTTTTGAATTCTCGCGTCACCTTTCAAATAGACCAATCTACATTGATCGATTCTCTTCATCTCACTGATAAAATTTCAAAGATTGTTGTTATGTGTCCCACACATGAATGTTTGCAATGTGATCAACAAATGATATCTATGTGTCGGACACATACTTAATATGTGTACACATAAAAGCCATGTGTAACCACACATACTATTCATTTGACTCATAAATTTCATGTGTGCTTCTGCGTGGATTCTGTTTATGTGTGGTCACATGAAAATCATGTGGAATTTCACATGGTTATTCGTCAATAAAAATGTGTGGAATTGTATTAGTATACTTTCTTTTTAGTTAATAACTCGGCTCCAATAACATGGTCAGGTGTTCTTATTGTCTAATACGCTTAGTAACACTTTCTTTTAACAGGTTATATAGAAAAACTAGCACGCAATATGAATGCAGCAAAGTTATTAACGAAAGAGAGAATCGATCAATGTAGATTGGTCTATTTGAAAAGTGACGCGAGACTTGCCATATTTTTCGCTGTCAACAAAACATGCAAGCTTTATTGTAACTGATTTTAATTTGAAAAAAATATCTATGATTTTTCAAGTACTTACATAGGAATTCAAGACCAACAATTGAAATGGCCTTAACTCCATTTTGTCAACAAACCTTGTAAGGCCATTCTCTTGCGAACCGGAGTCCGCAAAGGCAAACCAACAGAATGAACAGGTAGGGGAAATTCTCCTCTACCCGATTGTGACTTCGATTCGCGAGAAAATGGCCTTACAAGGTTTGTTTACAAAATGGAGTGAAGGCCATTTCAATTGTTGGTCTTGAATTGCTCTTCGTAAATTCGACTGCCATTTTCTCAATGCCTACTTTTTCTGCTTTTTCTGCAGAGATCCAAATTGAGACAATGACAACCGGTTTCAAAATCAATTAGAGATTGTCAATGCCTTTTATTGTGATTAATGAATTATTTTGGCGTTTTCAAGACTATTCTATCATTTAATTTCAGATTGGCTTTCTAAAGTCAACTTGGATAGTCCATTTTTGGCGTTTCAATATTATTGTGAGATTTTTAGTTTTCCAGATGATGAATAGTTCTAGATAGAGCTGGAATTAGGGCGTAACAGCTTTTGTAAACAATGACTTCTTTCGATGATTTCTAGAAAGTTAAGGCTCACCAACGCAAATCAACAATACCATCTGGTAAAGGAAGACTTCCCCTACCTGACGGTTGTGTTGGTTTGCATGGGCGTGAGAAGAATAGAAGTCATTGTTTACAAAGGCTGTTACGCCCTAATTCCAGCTCTATCTAGAGTTGTAGTGTAGAGTCAACAATCAATTCGAAACTAACGATTTTAAATTGGCTCACTACTTGACTAGCCTATTGGTCCCAAGCAAATCGATTAACGTACCCCATTCTAGTCGAAATTCTAGTACTGCACTATGTTTGTTTTGATTCGCTATGAAAGTTTGACAGATGAAATGAGGGGCTAGTGGATTTTCCTATGTTTCGAGGGGTGAATCGATTAGCTTCGGACCGAAGATAGCACCAGAGCTGAGCCAAAAAGTTAAGCACGTTTCTTCGGGACCTACTAGTCTTAGAGTTACCTGTGATGGTAGAGTGTCGATATCAACTTGGCTAATCTAGGCCATTTTAAAGCTATTATGGTAATTGATGGGCTAGTTTAGCAATTGTGAGACCATTTTTGGTGTTGTGATGTTTTAAAGGTTGTTTGATGTTTTCAAGACTATTTTCAGGGAAGCCATTTTTGCGATTATAGGCCAAAGTCCCGGCCCGGAGTCGTTGTTTTACCATTACATCGGTTTGGATTGCCCTATTTAGGTTTTATTGTTGTTTTACATCAACAGGGTGGATGAAGCCCCAATGATGTTAAGCTTATCAACTATAGTAAAAAAAATACATTCAAGCATGGTCATAGCATAAAAATCATATATCTTATAGTCAGTTACTCCTGCCGGCGAAAAACAGAAGAAAACTTTCGACGAAGCGCATCACGGGAGACATGAAAGCCGAAAACACAAATGCAACTCTGTTGAATATTCTCCTATTCTCTGCAGTCCGCAAATCGCACCGTATGCTTCATATTTTTTGCGACGTAGAGGCAGCCTTAGCAAAAGGTTATTACGAAGCGGTCGGGGTTGAACATTCAGGTCAATTTGCCTCAGGATAGCCTCGCAATCTGTCCTTCCTTGCAGGATATCGGCCACGGTTAGGGGTCTGCTTGTGTCTCTTCTAGTCCAAGGAAATCTACGCAACGCAAAACGAAGAAAGCGACGTTGAACAGATTCAATTCTCTCGGCACCGTTGTTGTAGTTTGGGTTCCAAACCGCTGAACAATACTCAAGCGTCGATCGAACAAGCGAACAATAGAGGGATTTTAGACAGTAGATATCAGTGAAGTTTTTAACTATCCTAAAAATGAACCCTTGCTTGAATGAAAGCTGCGAATCGAAGATCACAGCCAAGTCTTTCACCTGATTCACGCGTTCGATTGTCGAGCCAAGCAGGTCATAGCGGTGTTATCGGTTGTTGTTTTCGTGATAACGTAATAGCGGAGGATTTGGCTTGGAACACGTTCAGCTGACGTTGAAGAAAGTGACAGTCAGCAATGGAGCAGATTCGTAGGAAGATTTTGAGGTCATCTGCATATGATAACCGAGGAGCTTCGATGACCAGATGCACGTCGTTGAAGTACAGAATAAAAATCAACGGTCCCATGTGGCTTCCTTGAGGTATACCTGATGTGGCGAAGAAGCTAGCTGATCTGCAGTCTCCTATGGCAACCTTTAGTTGGCGACCGGTAAGATATGATCAAAACCAACTCAGAAGATTGCCGCATACACCGGGCCTGCCGAGTTTTGCAATTGCAATAGCATGGTTCAACTTGTCGAATGCTGCGGATAGGTCGGAATAAATAACGTCCGTTTGAACCCGATCTTATAACTACTATTTACAACTACAACTAACCTACAACTACTATGTACACCTAACCTACTATATACAAATTGCTTATCAAAGCATGTTCTGATAAATTACATTTTTGTGCAAATTTAGTCTTAATTTCGTTAATTCTGGAATCTATTTTGGCAATGCCTGCCTCTTCGTGTAAATGTGTTATTCTAGTGTCAAAAGGACGATCAAGTACCATCCTCAGCACTCTATTCTGAGCGACCTGGATTTTGTTTCTGTGAGTCTGTGCACATGATTCCCACACCGGAGCTGCGTAGAGGATCGCAGGTGCTATGATTTGTTTGTAGACGGCCAGTTTGTTCACCCTTGAGAGGCGGGATCTGCGGCAAATCAGCGGATACAGACACCTAACCAAGGCGGAACACTTGACTACGGTTTTCTCCACATGCGAGCGGAATAGGAGCTTTTCGTCAAACAACATCCCGAGATAGGTTACTTCGGCGGACCACTCAACCCTTGTGCCATCCATGATTACAGTACAAGAGGGAGCCGGTTTTAGTTTGGGTGATTGCCGATGGAGGAACATGATTGTTTGTGTTTTGGAAGCATTGATTTTGATTTTCCACGTGGTGGCATAATCAGCAAAGGCGTTAAGGCATCGTTGAAGTTTGTTCGTTATTTCGCGAGGCATCCTTCCTTTGACGGCTATTGCGGTATCATCTGCGAACAGGAAAAACACGCAACCGTCTCCAAGGGGAGGAATGTCGGAAGTGTAAATGCTGTAAAGCAAGGGGCCTAGCAGACTGCCTTGCGGGACTCCTGCTGGGATGGAAAACGTGTCTGAAAGACAACCATTCAACGATACCTTAAACGACCTTTGCTGGAGGTAGCTACGGGTGATTTTAACCAGATGTAATGGAAAGTTGAAGTTACAGAGCTTGTATACAAGCCCATTGTGCCAGACATTATCAAACGCTTTCTCAACGTCTAACAAGGCCATGGCTGTGGACTTGGATACAGCTTTGTTACCTCGGATGTTATTCATCACCCGCACTAGCTGGTGATTGGTGGAGTGCTTCTTTCTGAACCCAAACTGTTCCGGAAGGAGAATGTTATTTTCCTCGACAAACTTGAGCAAACGATTGAGAATAAGTTTCTCGAACAATTTGCTCAGCGCTGAAAGGAGGCTGATTGGTCTGTAGCTTGCAGCTAGCGTTGGGTCCTTCCCGGGTTTACGGATAGGTATGATTTTCGCTGTCTTCCAGATACTTGGAAAGCAGTGCAGTTCCAAGCATCTGTTGAAGACAGCAGCCAGCAGAGAGTGAACCTTTATGCTGATATTTTTCAACACTAGGTTGAATATTCCGTCAAACCCGGGGGCCTTCATGTTTTTGGTACATTTCAGCGCTGAGCAAATC